AACAAGTCCTTCTGGCACATCTAATTCCGAATTTAAATTAATATTAGATCAAATAGAGAACTGCAAGGATTCAGTTAGTAACACGTCAGTATTAGAAGTTAGTCGTTTTATTAAAAAATTAAAAGCAAAAAGATCCTCCGGAGATGATAATATATCAAACTTCATGTTAAAACTTCTACCGTTAAGTTATGTAGAGTGCCTAGTAAAGTGTTTTAATGAGTGGTTAAAAACAGGAGCGTTCTTAGATGATTGGAAAATTACGAAATTAGCTTACTTAAAAGCTTAAGCTTGCTTAAAATAAGCTAGCTATTAGCAAGCTAAAAATGGCAAGTCTCGAATTAGAGCAAGTAGTTTCCTTTAAATATTTAGGTTTCGGCGCCTCAGATAAAATGTCGTTTAAACCAACAGTAGACGCAGCAATCGATTAAATTCGTAAATCCTATTCTAAGTTAAAATGGCTTTCTAAAGGTGACGCGGTTTCTGTTAAACTTCGACGTCAGTGTTTTTTTGCTTATTCCTTTCCCTTCTTCTCTGGTATTTTTCCCATCTATCCTTTTTTACCTAAAACTTACGTTGAACTGTTTAACCGGATATTTACAGTAGGGATGAGGATAGTCCATAATTGTCCATTTGTCGATGCCAAAGAATTATTTGAGCTCTGCAAGGAAGACCAACTTGAGGATTACATAGTTAGATTTCTAGAAAGGAGACTGAAGCGATGCTATGACTCGGATCTCAGTACATCACCTATCCTCGATGATGTTTTTTATTGGGACCAATATCATCCCGCAAAACTATTACGGGTGGGCAACTATTTCTCCTTTAAGAGGATTAACAGGCAAAGAGACAGACACGTATCGGTACTGGCTACCTGGATAGAATTCGTGAAAGAAAGAATTAATCATTAAAGGTGTTTAGTGCGTGCTGTGAAAAAAGGCTGTATGGTAGATTTGTTTCGGACGTGCTTTCTGCACTACCAGTTTACATAGTAGAATGATATTGTGCTATTTACGATTTAAATCTACGTCTAATATGTTCCCCTTTTAATTTTTAAATTTTTATCCCCTCACTGTTTAAGTAGAGAATTCGGTATATGTAAAAAAAAAAAAAGTTTATTTTTGATTTATTGTAATTTTTGATATGGTATTTCTGTTAAATATTTCTACACTTTTTTGTAATAGCCTATGGGCTTAACAATAAACAGAAAGTCAAAAAAAAAAAAAAAAAGTAATGAGAAGTATTTTCGTTTGACATGATGATCTATTTTAAGCAATACCAACCTAGATTGAGGAGTTATATTTGTGTTTTTTGATAGTTTTAGTTTCGAATACTATAATGAAATATTTTTCCGCTTGTATTCTAACAAGGATAAAGCTTATATAGATTATATCTCAGTAGAGAAGAGTATTAAAACGAAAGAAGATTCCAAAGGAAGATAAGTACGGAATCAACTTGAAAAAAATAGCAATAGCGCTAGAATCTGGAAGTGGTTGCGTAAAATAGGTGAGCTTAGACGCTCTAAAGACGAAGAGTTAGAGATTTATTGTTCAAGTGATGGAGAAGTGAAAACAACCCCACTGAAATTCGAAAAAAAATCTCAGAAGTTGTTGTTAAGATCTTAAACATTGTCTAAGTAGAAAATAAGGTTTTTAAAAGCATAAGGAATAAAATACATAACAAATGTTTGTAATACACAGAACTTAAAAATTAAAGCGCTTATCTTTCTATATTCTCGAATCATTTACCTTTGTATGTATTGTTTTTTAAACAAGAATGCATAGAAAGGTTCAGCTAATGCAAAATTCGAGTGGAATCGTTTTCTGACTTTTTATACATATTATGAGTTGTCTTTTGACGCTGATCACGAATAATACCTTCCCGACATTCAAAACCCCTTTGTTCATGGAGAAAAACTCAAAATACCGTGAAGGTCTCAAAAACCGAAAAAATCGAGATATATCGTAAAACTGATTTCTTTGAAGTTTTTTTTTTTAGCATATAACTTTATTGTTCCTTTTAAAAAAGGTTAACAATTAAAAAAGCCTCACATAAATTAGAGACATTTTCACAGATATTGTTTTTTTAAGATCCACCTAACAAGAGACATTACTTCATTCAAAAAGGAAAAGAATAGAGAGAGATATGACCTCACAGCTAAAGTAAAAAACACATTTCTTTATCTTACTCCTGGAAAACTTAAACCAGGAAAAAAAATAAAACTTAAACTCAACATAGAGAATTATGAAAAAGTTAACAACAAAACGAATCGGCCTTTTTTTTTCAATTACATTTTTAAGAGCATTTTTATTTATACCGTCATTCACGGTGGCTCTTTATAGAAATATTTTAACATAAAAAATTCAGTGAATTCAGTTGATGTTCTAAAAATTTTGAACTGTTCTTTGTAAACTCAAAAAAGGGTAAACATCCAGATACGTATGCCGTGCACTCTCAGCCAGTCTATCAGGAAAAAAGCTGGATTTAGTATTTTTACGAAATCCCATGGTTTTTTAATGACTTTTTATATGTGCAGTCGCAATCTGAAAAGCTGTCCATGTTTGTCTAAATGTTTCGGCTTCTGGTGCGGCTTCCAGATGTTTTTGAAACCGCAGCCAGTATTTAAATAAAAAATCTCGCAGCGAGAATTCACGAGTTAAAATTAGTGTTGACAGGTCTTGTTGACAGGTCTTTGTTGACCCCCACAAGGAGTAAACAATCCTCAAACCTGTCCCGTAAACATGCTCAATCTTTTGCTTCTGTTTTTCCGTATAATAAAACCACGTACTGAAAAGCCAGGTGAAATGGGGTAACGCAAACGCACAGAATAGACGACGTCTGATTTTAACTTCATGTCTTGGGATCGTACGAAATATTTTCCTTAGACCAGCATATGCTGTTCTTACTTTTTTGAGTCTGGCGTCTATGTGTTTTCCCCACCCTAGCTTAGTGCCGAACTCAACCCCCAAGCATTTAAAACTTTTTACGTAATCAATTTCCACTCCCTTATACTCAATTTTAGGCTTTTTTACCGCAACCACACTGTGAACTAGCATCGCTTTTGTTTTACAAACATTGACTGATAAGAGATGGTCGTCTGAAAATTTTTCTAATGATTTTAAAGCGATTTTTGCTTGTTTTTCTAAATAAGTTATATTTTGAGAAAGTTTTAATTCCAACGCGCCTTTCAAAATCATAGTGAGATCATCTGCAAACAGGTGTGACAAAATTTGAGGAAAATAGCGAGGTAGGAAATGGACATGCAGACGAAACAAAAGCGCCGCAAGAACACTCCCGGAGGTGCGCCAATTAAAATCTCAAACAAGCGAGATTTTGCCTCACCAAAACTAACGTACATTTTGCGCTTTTGAAACCAATTAAAGATCCATTTTCTGAGTTCAAGTGGCATGTCTAGTTTTTCTAAAGTTCGCATAAAAGAAGCATACCACAAACGGTCAAAAGCAGTGGCAAAATCTATGAAAATGCTAAGTGCTGGTGTATTACAAGCTGCCACAGTTAACTTGAAGTCTTCTGCTATTCCTAGAATTCGGGTCTGAAGTCTTTTATTAGCTGTAAAACCTGATTGTTCTTCACAATGAATTCCTTGAGCTAAACACCATTTTTCAATTCGGGCGACCACTACCCTTTCTAAAACCTTTCCCAATTTGGGAAGTAACGAGATCGAACGAAGTCGATCATATCGTAAAACTGATTTCTTTGAAGTTGTGTCGCAAGCTAAAGGGTTCAAACTGAATTTTAACTGAAATTAACTTGGCTAGTGGAACAATCAAAGAGCATATACGAGACAGTATTACCGGTTTGAAAGATGATTGAATCGATACTGTAGAGCACGATTTCTTTTGTTTTTCCTGAGCGGTTGATCTTTAAACTTACTTTTTTCTGTTACTCCAGCACCACTGCACGTGTTATTAATCAAGGAGATGCCGATTCAGGTGAAGAAAAATTCATATGTTTACCGAAGAGTACGGACATCAATTGAGCACCTTCTGATGCAATGAGCTATAACTCTCGTGCAATGGCTCTTAATATGCTCAAAAGAAACTAGAATTGTATTCAAAATGCATAATCTTAGCTCTTCGGCAGCCATCTTTGAACCTTTTCCACATTTTTCTTATTTGGAGCTAGAAATTTTTCATATTTCCTTTTAGCTCTTGATAGGAGCTACTATTTGGAGCTAAAAGCACACTATAGACTTTACAAAACACTGATTGGTTTATGACTGCTACCAATCGTTTATGAAGAATGACTCCATCTTTTCTCCAATATCATCTGCATGGAAGATCCACTAATTATAGAAGCGATTCAACAAAAAATAAATATAAATACTAACATTGTTATATTAACCTCTGTTTTACTATGGTCGTAGACAAAATTTAACATTTTGGTCAGAGGACAAGGTTATTTTGGAATGTAATCAGGCAATGGCGCTCTGACTGATATTAGAAGAAGAGAAAAGGAAAAAAGTATGACCTAATAATTTTTCTCAAATGGTAGAGAGACACATATGTATGCTAGTACAGATCGGTTGTTACAAAATGTATAGTCAGTGAAAGATATTTAAAGCAAAAATACGTGACAGCTACTTTGTGCAAGTTAAAGAAATATACATTATTATTTTTTCACTTTTTAGCAGATGAAAGCAGACAAACGAAGAGAGAGAAAGAGAATACTATACACTGCCTTCTAGACTATTTTTGCTGACTAGATTTGAAAAGAAAAAGATATGCAGTTGATCTTCACTAGTGTGTGCGTGCTGTATGTGTCTTGTACAAAAGAAGCTCGCAGAACAGTTTTTTTCTACCGTATGTTACACAATTGCAGAGGTTTTTGCTTAACACCTTATCACTTTTAAGTTTTCTCCAGTAAGATAAAAATCATCTGAAAGTAGGAGGTCGGTTGTTAACGCTTGGTCAATGTCCTCTCGCTACTTTATTTAGCAGGAATTGGTCACTCCATTTTGTTTTCAGATTAAAGGAAAAAAAATGACGTCAACCGATGACAAACCGCTCGTCAATCCTTACTCATTATTATATGGAGCGTCAAAAATGTTTGATTTATCGGTATTTCTTGATACAAACAAAAATGGTAAAGATCAAACGTAAGTCGAATATGGTGCAGCTGAATTTGTTCAACACGTTGATTATCGCTTGTTCTTCTTTATTGCAGATTAACACAATTTGCCGATATAATTAGTACAATTGAAGAAGACTGTCAGGCAAAAGAAGGTCATGTTCGTAGGATAATAAAAAGTTGTGCAAATCCATTAGATTATCAAACATTAATGCATGAAGTGGATCATATGAAAATTAAAATAATGGTATTACATGGTGAATTTGAAACTTTAAAAAGTAAAGTTATATTTCCTTGAAGAGTCAGTCAATGCTTATGAGCTATTGCACGTTAGCCACGACCGATTATACTGGAACAATGCTCAATCGATGTTTTTAGGACTTTTTCAAACTAAATGGTTCTTTTAGACCAAACATTTTAATGAATTTTCGCGAAAGACGCAGGTCAAAAAGTTATATCGTTGCTGAGATATTGACATTTTACGGGAAGCCTCGAATAACGTGGATTCCGCCATCTTGAAAATTTGTCAATTTTAAACGCAGCATGGACTATGGTAGTACACCTGGTGCACTGCAAGAATATACTAAGGAGCTACAGAATGATCGCATTTCCATGCAGAAATTATTCCTTAAAATCGGCCAAAATGGTCATTTTTGGGACTTTCGACTGGTCTGTATAGAAAATGAAAGCACCTGAGACCGTCAACATTTTACCAAATATGCTTTGACTTATAACCTATTTGTAAATATGATTGAAAGTCTGACGGTCGACTTCATTTCCCGTGGGTGCTACAGGAAACTTCAACGTTTTCTGAATTTGGGCTCTCAGTACGCCATCTGTTACAAAATAACAGAAGTATGTTTCGAGTTCGTAGTTGCGTGATTTTGTAGTAGATACTATCTATTATTTGTGGTGAGACTTTCAAGGTTAGGTAATCTGAGAATATCGATTGAGCAACGTTGGTCGTGGCGTACGTGCAATGGCTCTTATGTGATCTTGTGAGGAGAATCTCAGAAATAGAGCTAGAGAGAAAATCTATAAGATGATCTTAAAATGTGCAGTATGTGATTTCTCACAAAATTAATGATAAATACGGCTGTGTTGTTTTCTGAGAACTGTGCGTAAACTGTGTCTGCTTTCTTACTTTGCACTACCGTTCAGTGCGTAAAAAGAATGGCCTAATTTAAATCCCATTGCTAGGAATCTCTCTTCAAATTAACCCATTTGAAAACCGTCTATTTCTGTTTTTGAAAATCAGTGTTGAATAACTACATCTCACAAGGTTTTTCTAGTATGTTTTTTTTGCATTTCTAACAGCTTTTGTTTGTCTTTTCTAGCAATATATAGACAACAATTGAAAGAAGACTGGATGCCTACTGGAACAAAAACAGCAGTAAAAATCGAAGTTTTTTCATAGTAATGTTTGTCTTTGTTTGTTGTTAAACAAAAAAAAATTAAAATAAAAGTCACTGCAGTGGGTTGTTTCTGCAACCGATACTTTAGCGAGCTGTGAACTAATGCCTTCCTGTAAAACGTAATTTGCACCTGATTGAAAGATATAAAAACATAAGAATTTCTAGAATTCTCACGGTTCGATTTGCGACGTAAATCTATGGATAAGACATAATGGCTTGTGAGTTTTTTTTGAATATATTCTGATTCAAGAAAGATAAAAACCTGCGCTTTTCTGCATTTTGTAGACTTCAGCACTTTAGCACATCTTTTCAGAATAGAACATGAACCAAGCCCTAGATTTTGAGATGGTACACCTCAGAGATCTTTGAAAACCATAGTTGCTATTGTTCAAACCTCCATAAGACCATGTAGCTTTACTATAAGGCAAACATAGGAGCACATCTATGCTAAGCATCTACGAAAGTCTGAGATTTTGAAAATGAAGAATAATACAGTGTATTTACTGACTTTTTCTACTTTTCATACTTGTTTGTATTATATTTTAGCATTTAGGAACAAGATAAAATCTTTGACTGTCATATAATGCTTACAAGCAGCAGACAAACTTGTTTTGATAAGTTATGCAAAAAAATATTTTAAAATCTACAGAAAAGAATTGCCACGAAATTAATCTTAATCGATAACCCATAACTTGCACGAGGTTCATCTATGGGTCTAGAAGAAACTAGCGTCACTTGACATTTTGCAAGATGCGATTTTCGTAAATAGTACATATATTATAGACGAGAATCTGGTCGTTCAAAAAACTTTTCTAGACTCTAGGTGAAGCAAAGCTACAGACATATCAACCAGTTTGCACTGAGTTTTTGTTTTGTTCTAAATCAGGACAAAAATGTCAATAATGTCTCTCTGATTTTTCTTCGCCTAAAGCCGCGAAAAGCCTCATTCTAGTGGTCAAATTCTCCTTTATAATACATCTACTATTTCGGAAAATCCCATCTTGCAAAACTATCAAATGGTGCTAGTTTGTCTCGACTCGTATATGACTCTAGTTTGACTACACAAGACTGAACAGAAAATTTCGAACTAATGTACATGATTCAAGGGTACACTGGATTCAGCTACATAGTGATAGAAAGTTTTTCTCTGGGAAAGATCCCGTTCATTATGGCACAGATCATATCGTGTAATATATAGAAAATCTAGAGATGCCGAATAATCAGTGACGATTCTTCATCGGCGAAGTAGGCTGATTACAGCACATTTCTTTTTTCCATTTAAAATACGGAACAGGTAAAAAAATTATTGTCTTCATTTGACATTATATATGTTCTTTGCATTGATTATATCATCAGTGTACAAGAAGATTTTTCAATTTTCACGAAATATCGTGCACAAAAAAGGCAGTTCTTGTCGAGATACACTTTTCTTTGCCTTTACATAGAACAATCAATTATGGATTTGACAATTGTCTACAGAATGTTAATTATGTTAGCATTTTATTGAACAACAATAGGAAGAGATCCTGTTAACAAAATAATTGGTGAGTCTAGTTTGGAAAATAAATTTGATCACATACCTAATGGTGTTAATGTACAACTACGAGTTCGTATTCATCTTGAATATGTTAAAATATAATTCGTAATCAATCGTCATTATCATTAATGAAATTAAATGCATTAGATCATCTAAATGAATATTGGAAGACGGGTCAATTTCCTACACATAATCATAATCATCATCAAGAACAACGTTTACCACGTTTTATTGATCACAGTGGTATACATTGTGCTATTGGTTAGATGATATTGAAATCATCTGATTTCGAATATTTACCAAATGAAATTAACGCACAATATGAATATTCTTTCATTGATCAAATTGCTAGCAGTAATAATAGTGATTTAAATAAATGGATGAATATGTATGAGTTTAATTTAAATGAATTATTAATAATTCAGCCGACTTATGAATCTTTAGATGGAGGATCTTGTTTCATACTTAGATATTGCCGACCGAATTTTGAACGTATAAATAATTCTTGTCTAGCGCCTTGTTTAAAGATGACTATTCCTGGAAGGAAGAACATTTCCATGTGTCTCAATGCATTTGCACACGATTGGAAATATGAATGTATCGATGGTTATTGTCCAAAAAGAAAGAAATGAACATCTCCAGTGAAGAACAACAGAATATATCTTTTTATTACAGCAGCAATCATACTAATCTTTTATTTACTTAAAACTAAAAATATTCGACGTTTCGATTGTTCATGTGTCACCAGATTTTTGCTGAAAAATCAAAGTTCTTCCAAAACTTAAAACACATATCAGACAATTCAGTTTTTGCTGCTGATTCTAATTATGACATTAGTTTTGCAAAAAAATCGATGATTGATGCCAAAAACAGTAAAATACGAGTGCATTTCCTTGCTTTTTGGCTGTATTTCTTTGAAACTTCTTGAAGCTTTTTCTACATGAGATTGCAAACAGTGTCAGCCTATTAACTGGGTGGTCTAAGCTTCGAAACACTCCGTACCTGTCATTATCTGCCATATTTGGCCTAACTTGCACAACGTGTGCTGACCATATTTCCTAACGTAGAACCTTGAAGTTGGTATCAAATGGAAGAGCGGGTCGAGTTCTATGTATTTCGATGGAGAAAACTTATACTATACCTCGGGGTCTTGAGATACAGATTTCTGAAAAACCCGGTTTTCTAGAAAACCTAGTGACTTTAAAATTCCTTTCTTAAGTTTTTCAAGCATATCATCAGATAGCCGCTTCAATTATTTACAAAACGAGATGCTGACCACGGTTCTGCGGTTGTGCAAGTTAGGCCAAATATGGCAGATAATGACAGATACGGAGTGTTTCAAAGCTTAAACCACCCAGTTACACTTTCTTACGATTATCTGATAAATCATTTTGTAGCTCGTGAAATTCTCTATCGAATATTATATGAAGTGGACTGGTTAACGACAGAATGAAGCAAGGTTATTAACATGAATGAGGTTCACCTACCGGTTTGCTAGGATGCTACCGAGTCTTTTGAATTTCAGACTACCCAGTTATATTTTGTTAAGACTGTCTGATATATCATCTTATAGCCCGTGAAACGTTACGTTATATTAAATTTTGTGGTGTATTTTAGACCAAAAGAAATAAGTTATCATCACACGTACAAGCAAGAGAATCAAAAGTAAAAGTGTATGAAGTAAGAATAATGCATTAAACTCTGTTTAATTAGGCATAAAATCTGCTTTCGTTTAATCAGACAGAAGATCATACCCAAAACGAAAAAAATACAAAATCTTCAAAATCTTCCAATTCTGTTCAGTCAGATGACATATGGGTATTTTTCAAATTAAATTATTTTTGGAATGAATGAGATCAATCGAAAAAGATTGTTTTTTTTAAAAGCGTTTCCAAAACAGAAATGTAACTTTCAGTCAGAAAAAAACTAATCATCTTGATCATTATTCATTTCAGAATTTTGTGTGATATTGAGATGATTTTAAATGGTATTTTTTCTTCAGCCTCCGTTAAAAACAAGTAAAAGAAACCAAGCAGAAAAAATAATTAGAACATCAACATTTGAATCACTAAGTGTAAATACTGTCTTTATTTTTATACAAATGAAGATTGAATATATATTTACTGTAGTGCTGGCAAAACGCTCTCGTTTTCAAAGTGATATTTTTTCTGATGTCGTAAAAGTAAGTACCACCACCAATAGAAAAGGTTCTCTCAAGATTCTCGTGTCTTCCAAATTCCTTCAATTTTATCGTTAAGTTTGTCTGTTTGTTTGCGTGTCTGTCTGTCATTCCAGTGAAGTGAGTTTGTCTGTGTGTCTGTCGTTCTATAAAGGGTAGCGTTTGTCTGTTTGCGTGTCTGTCTGTGTCTTTGTGTGTATGTCTGTCTGTCTGTGTGTCTGTCTGTGTCTTTGTGTGTATGTCTGTCCTTCCGTCTGTCTGTCGTTCCGTAAAGGGTAGCGTTTGTCTGTTTGCGTGTCTGTCTGTGTCTTTGTTGATGGGTCTTACAAAAAAAAATCTGGTAGAAATTATCGTTAAGTTTGTCTGTTTGTTTGCGTGTCTGTCTGTCGTTCCAGTGAAGTGAGTTTGTCTGTGTTTCATTTTGCAATCTCTGTAGAGAAGTGTGTTTGGATGGGAAAAAGTACCAGAGAGTGACGGGTCTGCCTCGTAGAGGTCTTACTTGTTTTCTGTAAAAAGAAAGCTACACTGGGTCTGTTGCTGCGTTCAAATCCGATGTAGACTATATGCCGTATGCAGAAGTTAGCAAAATCTCAGGCACCATAATTAGATTAGTTACGATAAAAACTTTTACACTGCAAGAATTTAGCAAACTGATATACTTGGTTTCGATTTGTCCGTTTTTATATACCCCTAGCTCTCAACAAGTTAGTATGAAATCAAAAAATCAGTCAGGATGTAAAAGAAAGCATGCTTAAAATACTGTGTATTTCATTTTCATCCTATCTGCACGCAATCAAATTCAGTTAATAAAGTTACCAATCTCGTTTTCAAAGAACATAATATAAAGAGGATATCATCCCTTCCGGAATAAATTCTATTGTATTTTATTCTTTATTTCTAACACCACAGGTCACCACCCTCAAATACAAATTTTTGAATGCGCTGGTTGAGTGTAAGGTTGTATCCACAAAAGAAATTAGCCGACAAATTAATGATTATGAGTCCATAGACTGCAGTCTTCACAGTCCGATTAACGTCCATTACGAATGCGCTTTATCCGACACGTACAAATTGTACTTAGAATCAAAGTCTAAACTCCATGGCTGAAACAAATGTTCCGCATCAGTTCCCATTTCGCCGCGGATACCGGCAATTACCTCCGGTGCTTGAGATTTAACACTCCATCGATGTACGACATGTCTACCTTGTTCAACAATATACAAATTACCATATGGATCTGCCAAGACATCCGTAGGGGCAGACAGATTATTTTCAATAATTTCCCCGGTTGTAGTTTGGCTAACGTGTGCAAATCTCTCAATCTATGAATGAAGGAAAAAATTGAGTCGCGAATCTGACTAGTCCATAAACAGTTTCGGCCGCAGTTTTTCTAATAACTAGTCTTTACATAGACAGATTAGTAAAAGCATAAACATGCAAGTCTTTTTGTCACTTCGGGGTTTTTTAACAGCACTCAATATTTGCGGGAAAAACTCAAAAAAGGTATTGTGTAAAAAACTTTTTTGCAACGTCGGCCAAACTTGTGTACCCTATTTTAGAGCGTTCGACGTTTTTCCACCATGCGCAATTGTAAATTCTAAGTGAAGAAAAAAGCTCATTGTTAGGCAATTCCCTCTCATGAAATATTCGATGAAGATCTCACGGTTAATGAAAATAGATAGGACCTGAATATCACATATCGCGCAGAAACCAGCGGAATTTTGTCGGCAAGGTTACAACTCGTGTGCCAATTTTAACTAACCTTTCCACCGCCATAATCAGCTGCGTAGACATTATCACACTTGTCAACGTAAATACCTGCACCATTATTTATACTTGTGCCGATTACTTTCACTGTGGAGTCTGGTGACGAATATTTTATTAGTTCTCCATCGTATGTCGTTATATAGAAATCTTCTTTCTTCATTTTACTTTGAGCAATTGCAGCAGCATTTCCGTTAGTCCTGAGAACTGTAACACCTTCACTACTGTTAGGTTTCCACATTTGAATTCGGTTAGCTTTGGCATTGGCTATGAATAAGTTTCCGCTTGAATCGACAAAGACATCAGACGGAGAATTCAGCTGATTGGAAGCATCTCCTTGACCGTGTCCTCCTGCAACTGTAATACCAGTATTTGACCCTTGGACGAATTTTTGGATACGGTAGTTCCACATATCTGCCACGTAGAGACTATAACCGTTCGGATCAATAAAGATGCCCGCTGGAGTATAGAGCTGAGTGCTGGATGAACCCCATTTACCAGTAGTTCCTGCCACCGTGACAGCCTGTTTCTTCCAGCTTGGTTTAGTGCAGGTAGATTGTGACAACGATGGTTGAAGAAAGGGTTCACATTTTGCATGGCTAGAAGCTAGATGTCAGAAGAGTAGCCGAAATTAAACTTTATAACTTTTGTTTATTTTATTGAAATCGCGTCGAGCTCGAATAAAGATCTTTTATTATGGACATAAAAAATGGATCCACTTTTTACTATAAAACACAGCAGACAACGATTTAACGGGTGGCAAATAAGTTTTGAGACAAAATATTTGCTGTTTTCTTGCCGTTTGATAATACTTTAGACCAGTGAAAACCAATGGATCAGAATCAGAATTTTATGCTCTTTCAGAATATGGCTCGGAATTTTTATATATTATTCTCTCAAGAGCAAAGAAGAAATCTTTCAAAGCCTTGAAAAATATTTTTGGACGGAAAAAAATACCTTTTTTCGAACAAATATATTTTCTTTTACGAAGGCTTTAGAGGATATCCGACTTGCTAATCTTGTAGAGCAGAGTCTGTTCTACAACATGTACCATGTGGCTTTTTTATCTATAGGCAGGGTTTCTCAATTTCGTTTTTCTAAACCTTGGTTTAGGAGAAAATAGACGAAAAACTAATTTTTTGTGAAATAAAGGCATTTTTCGCAAAAATGACTTTTTAAAAATACAAAAATTGAGATACCCTGTCAGTAGATTAAAAAATCCAAATGGTACGTTTTGTAGACCAGAGTCTGTTCTATAAGCTCATGTAATTTTGAAGATCCAAACTATCAGTTTCTAAGCACAATAATCAAAGTACGAAGGAGCGCGAAAAAATTTCCTGCCCAAAAACATTTTTTCGAGTCTTTCAAAGATTTCTTCAATATTATGGAACAAAATAAGCTACGAAATTTCTGATCCCACATTCTGAAAGAACACGAAATTGTGGTTATAATCCATAACTTTTCACTCGTCGGAAATACTGTCAGACGGACCAAAAATGAACAAAGATATTGTCTCAAAACTTATTTGCCAACCATTCTGTGCTTCCCATAGCTGCCTTATACTCTTCCGCTTCATCTGACTTAAAATCAAGCCCTACAGAGTTGTGCTAGGGGCTAACACTGAAAAGAATAGAAACCAGGCGTTCTAATTGCCTTTTGAGTCCGATTTCATGTATTTTTCAGAAACCATTCGCGCGGCAAAATACTCTGTGTGTGGAAACGCGCTGTCGCGTATATACTGTGCTAGACGACCTAACATGATTTGAAGAACATACCTTTTCGTCGACTCACTGTTACACCGATCACGATTAATGCGACAAATAATACATAAAGTCAGTATCACGCCGGCAATAAGTTTAACGCGGTGATGGCGGATGAAACCTAACAAAAAATCAGAAATGTTAAGTTAATACACGCTCTAAACGAATCAGGGAAAGCTGCTGACCATAGTGGGCATATTTTGCTAGAGCAGCCGGACATCCACTTTTATCCGACAGATACAAGTGTGGAAAAGACAAAAAAATGTTTTATAGGTTTTTGGCATATTCACTTTTCACTTCACTGAGAATCACGAGTAAAGGCAGATTTTTTGCAGGGGTTTTCAAGAGGTTTTCCACAGACCTAGTCTCTAAAATGAGGTCCAACAATTTTGTAAATCACAGTTTCAAACTCACCATAGTCTAAAAGCAATAATTTTGTGGTTTAGAAGTTTTTCAAGCCATATACAGTAGATTCGAAAAAATCGATTTCAAACACTTAGAAAGAACGTGTTCCATTTTTTGAAATTTGGCGATGCTTCGCCAAAAACGGCCGCCTTATATACTTCTGAATGCAGTTTTTCAATCTGATTCCGAGTATGACTTTACTTTTAAGGAACAATGCTTTTTTGATGAAGAAAACCTCGGAAAACCCCAAAAACCAAAGGGTTTTTAGAGGCTTTTGAAAAATTCGTAGCTCCGCTTAGTGAAGAGAAACAAAAAAGTTGGTTGCTTTGGTAATGCAGTTTCGTTTAAGAAACATTTTGGTGTACTTTTTTTAATTTTTGATTTCCGCAAACGTCCGCGTTTCGATTTTACTAAGGCGATCTCAAGTCGGGTGCAGGTTTTAAAGATACATCTGACCATTACTGATTGAATTCGATGTCGAACTTAAAACTTTTTGGTATGCTAGATAGCTAAAGTCGTGCCGATTTCGAATAAGTGCTTTGAAGTTGCGTAAAAATAGCTTAGGAAACAAAAAATCATGGTTTAAAGTGTAGATGGCAGTTTTCGGAGCCGGTTTTGTCAACATTTTTTTGGACGTATAAAATATTTTTTAAGATAAACATTTATACACCACTCGATAGCCTTTTGCAGTGGCTACATTTTCCGCTATTACATTGCGGAAAGGCGAACAACGATTTTTCACCTAATGTCCGCCTAGATGCCCACTGTGCTGACGTAATTCTGTTCAGGTCGTTTTTCAAATGAAATTAGTTCTCAGAGACAGAGACGCTTATATTCCAGCTGCTTCTTACTCCAGTTCTATCCGTTTCTTTTTTTATAAAAAAAAAGAAAATTTTTATATATGCTTCCGTATTTCTAACGGAAAGAGAAACTCCATTCAAATTGACTTTTTATCATTATGAAGCCACTACGAGTTCAGCCCAGCTGAACTATCTGCGATAGCTCTAAATTTTTTTCTCTTCCTCAATCACCTAAACTTAACTCACCTTGTGGAACTTTAACATTACCAGCCATTGGAGGTTTCACATTCTCAAGAATTTCAAAGTTGAATTCACAAGGCTTAAGAAAATGATCATTGTATAGATTCTGAACAGGCTTTCGATCGATGAAGGGAGACGCTTCAGTTTCTTTCAGTTGTATTAGATACAGATCATTTCCAGCAGGTAGATATCCAATTACTTGTAGCTTGGTAGCTGGCAGTAGAATGACCTCTTTTTCGGCATCTGGGTAATGTGAGTAGTCCATAATTGATTTACCAGTTTTACAATCAATTGAGAAAAATGTTCGATGACCTGAAGGCCCGAGAAAGGGTTTTAGACTGTCAACAGCAACTGAAGAAGAGGTAAATGACCACCATCGAAATTCTGTGCCTGGTGCGTAATCTGCGATATTAAACCCAGTGTCTTTAATTGCCCGGTAAACAGTTTTAACCTCAGATGGCAATTTGTTAAGAGCTGTGATATAAAGTTTCAGGTATAGTAACCACTTTTCTAACTCTTCGTCTCTATGATGCTGGTCATCTTTTATTCGAAGTGTCGCATTTAGCAGACTGTAAAGGGACGGTGGTGGTTTAAATGTTAGAGTGTAGAGATAGATGCTTGCAGCTTCGTCGAGTGTTAACAAACCAATTTTATCTTGACATGCCGTTTTAGAACGTCTGACGTACTGTTCAAGATTAGTGAAAAGATCTGCGAGAGGTGCTGTAGCTGCCTCCAGTGTAAGCAGTGGTTGGTCTTTTAATGCAAGAAGACTGGTAGGTAAAGTTTGGTAGGTTGGCTCATTATTTTCGTAGTAAAATCGGGAGGGCTCCATGGTCTGATTATCTGTGTATCTGGAACGAAATCTGGCAAACAGAAAAAACTCGTTTGAGTCAAGAGGCAGTAAAGCCAAGCATATACCTGTTTGAGTTGTTTTCTGCTTTTACTCCTTGAGAGATATGAGTAAATAGTTAAAAAAAGTTAAGATAAGACAGCAGAAGGAGGAACAGAAAAAATGTAAGGAGAAAGAATAAAGTAACGTCGTGGTGCGTCACCTCCTTATACTCCAGTTTTCGGTAGAACTTACAATTACCCTCCGCGGGCGCTTTCGCACAGCGGAGGTGGTAATCATATCTGAAACTGTAAAATCTCACATGAAGCTACTCAAAGTTAGTATAGCTGTCCTGTTTCTGTTCGGATATGAGCCAAGATTTATGTTCAGGTTTTTTGAAATGTACTTATCCGCCAGGTATCAGAAACTGAAATTGCGCTAAAGGAATAAAGAAACAAGTTTCACAGCTATTAAAACTTCGTAAAGCAGAAAAACTCGTAAAAATCCATTGGAGCGCAAATAAAGTGTTTTTTTAATACTGTCTCGTCAAGAGCCCAAACGAACAATCTGAAAAATTTAGGCGCGTGAATGTTTTTGAAAAATCTATTGGGACCTCGCCTGATGCTGCTACATAGTGAACATAATCTTGGCAAAAAAGCTTAACCAAAATGTTGTGCAAAATCTAGCGTTCAGACGAGTTCTGGCAGCTTTATCCTAAAATTTGGGAACTCACTTCCGCAGCCGATGTCTAACTCTACTCCGAATACGGAAACTGTTATATCATTTCTTTTACATGCTTCGTTATTTTTAGTACTTCAAGTTAGTATAACTTCGAATGAGCAGTACAAGGCTTTGTTCAAACGGTCTGGATTTGCTGTGCTTATCAGACTCTCTAAGAAGTAAGATTTTGATGTCCCTTTATTGTAAAAATTTTCGTATAAAATAAAAAAGCAGTAATCTCAAATATTTGATAAAGCAATCGGTTTGTTCTACACTTCTAACACCACAGGTCACCTCCTTCGAATTCAAACTTTTGAATACGGTGGTTGAAATAAAGAAGCTATTCATAAAGGAAAACAAATGACATATTAGTTTAAGCGCCGTCCCCGGCAGTTTCCATTTCGACTGTCTTTGCGAAAAGTCCGATTCTCTCTTTTAGCTTGACGTCCGTTGCAAATCATTTTTATCCGAGACGTATAAATTGTACTTCGAATCAAAGGCCAAACTCGAAGGAGATTTCAAATGTTCAGCATCAGTTCCTTGCTCGTCACTAACTATTACACACTAGTTATTAGGAGCACTGCGGCCAGAACAGTTTAGGCACTACTCGCTTTTGCTCTTCATTCATAGATTCAGAAATTTGCCCATGGCACCCAAAGCACAGTAGGTGAAATTCTTGTCAATAATCTCACTGGGCCCACAGATGTCTTAGCGGATCCATACGGTAATTTGTATATTGTTGAAACGAATGCCCATCACCTCTCACGATGGAATACTAAACATCAAAGACGAGATGTCCTCGTTGGTGTTAGTGACGAGCAAGGAACTGATGCTGA